ATAGGATTAAATTAGAGTTTGTACCACACAATATTTAATATTTATTCAATAAATTATCTTTGTGCAAGTTTTTCTTGTTTGTCTAAATCGTAGATAAGAATTTGTTGCTACACATGGAACTAAGCATTTGCGGCAATATTGGATCCACAATTCAAGATGAAGCTAGTGGATTATTTGTTTAAGAAAATTTATGGGGATCGTGCTTCTATAGAGAAAAGTAAGATTAAAACCATTTGCTATATTTGCTTGATGAGTATATCTCCAAGAGAATGGGTGGTGATGCACTTGTGTCCTTGTCTTCATCGGATGATAATCAACCTGTGGGAGGTGACTTTCTTTACGATTGTGATATGCTTGTTAGTAGCCAAAGAAGAGTTGGCAATGGAAAAGTGGAGTTGGATCATTATTTAGAGGATGATTTTCTACCACATAGTAATGATTTTGATATTTTGTCATGGTGGAAGAATAATGGAGTGAAATATCCAACTCTGAGATTGATTGCAAGGGATGTCCTATCCATTTTTGTATCTACGGTTGCTTCGGAGTTAGCCTTCAGTAGGGGTGTTCACGGGCGGGTTTGGGCGGGTTTTGTAAAAATATTAACCCGACCCGCCTTCGGCGGGTTGATAAATTTGTAAATTGCAACTGCTAAGTTACACGAGCAAACTGCAGAGGTTCGGGTCAATCGGGTTTGGCGGGTGGCGGGCGGGTGACGGGCGGGTGAAAGAAATATACAAGAAATATTTTCTTATAAGATATATCTCTAAAATTGAACAGTTTGAATACAAAATTTTCACAATCTTTAAGTAAAAAAAAAAAAAAACATAACCCAAAAAGAGGTAATTAGAGACACAACCTCTAATGTTCATATGAATGCAAAGACTGAAGCATAAATAAACAAAATTAGAGGCTTAGAGCTAAGTAATGGCGGCGGTGTGGCTTATAAACCTTGAAGACGGAAGTAAGATCTATGTCTATCCATTAGCCATTTAATTTGAGGGATATTGCAACTTCTGTGATAGTGGTGAGGATTACAGCAACGACCGTGGTGGTGGTGGTAGTCGTGGTAAATATATTTCTTTAATCATATCTCATGAGTTGTTCAAATGAAGAAAAAAAAATGGGGGAGAATTGATCTGTATTCATGGAATGAGGAGAATTCGGAATAGCAATTGACGGCAAATGAAAAAAGTGAACTGATTCAACCCTAGAGCTACTAAAATTAATTTATATATAGAGGGCGGGCGGGTCGGGTGTGGAGCGGGTTTTGGCATTCAAACCCGATATCCGACCCGTACAACTCGGGTTACATTATTACAAAACTGCCACCAATAATTAAAATTGTTAAACTGGCGGGTTTCGGGCGGGTCGGATCGGGTCGGGCGGGCGGGTCGGGTTCGGCGGGTTTATGTTCACCCCTAGCCTTCAGCATAGTAAGCTTCATTCAAAGACCGTGGAGGCATTAATGTGGTGCCAAGATTGGTTGTGGTCTCAAATTAAAGGCAAGTTAATTCATATTATTTTTGTTTTTGTTTTTGTGTTCTTATATAATTTATTTCGCTAATTTATTCATAATTTTATTGTTTGAGGTGCATCTTTGCAAATGGTAATTAATGAAGTAATGAAAAATACTTTTGATGGTGAAGCCGCCGACGACGACGGTGATGAAGGTCAGATGAAGTGGATCTAATTGACGATTAATAGCAAAATGATCTAGTTTTTTTAGTCTGTTTATGAAGTGTTTAACAAACATGAGTACTTAAATTTAATGCATTGTTGGTAATATTTTTAATTTGTACTATGTTGAATTGTTTGATGTAATATTATCGTCTATCGAATAGTTGATTTTGATATTATTTCTTAGATAATTTAGATTTGATATTTGGTAGTAGAATTTTTTTTTAATCATATGTAGTTTGTAATGACAAGTTATTCAATTTTACTTTTTTTACTTTTTTCTACAGCTTTCACGGGGTTTTTAGCCGGGCTGGTACCTGCGGATTTTCTATGGGGCGGACGCGGGTTGGTAAAATTTAGACCCATTGCGGGGCAGGGCGTGTGTGGGTTGAACGGGTTTCTTATTGAGGGAGGGTGGGGAATGCAATACCTGCCCAAAACCCGCCCCATGGCCATCCCTACTTATCGTCAATCTAGGCAACTGGCTGAAGCACCTCTGCGCTGGATTGGCCAAGGTAGTGGCGAACACCCTACACTTCACACCGTCCAACAACCGATGAAGTGAGGTCGTGGTGTTGAACCAGGATACTTACTCCCACGGGTTCGTTGTTTCAATATATTCATATGTTACCGATCTGAACATTCCTGGTAACCCTCCCTTCTGCACCTCCCTTGTAAACGGTGTCCCTCAATCTTATCTATCTCGAGGAAAGGCTCGAGCTCTTCCTGCACTTCCTCGTCCGGTAGCTTTGGCTGTGTCGAGGATCTCATTTTAGTCGTCGGCTCTCTTGCCGCCCCTAGTGCTAATGACCTTTCGGCAACGGCCGACAAAAGCTCTTGGAAATGTTCCATAGTTAAGATGACGGAAAAGCCCTCGACACCGGGTAGCGAGTTGGTCATGCCTTGTGTCGGCTCGATACTCTGAGGTTCAAAAGTGGGGCCTTCAGTTGCGACATGCGGGGAAGGAGTAGCCTCCCATTCCATCTGACTTGAGATATTTCTGGCAACGCTTGTCACTCTCCTCCTTCTGGTAGGTAGCCACTTCATACGTTCTCCTTCATTATTTCATTCATTTTCGCCTGGCATCGATCACTCTGTCATTAATGTCTGTGTTAGTGAATTTAATGCACATGCATGTGTGCGGATTATGGCCGATAAGGCGCTCCTGCCTTCCCCAGTATTCTTCTAAAGGTCCTTTTTAGACCGAACCTGTCAGTGAGATAAAATGGATGAAATGGAGCCGGATCATAAATACTCCTCGTTGAACTTAAAAAGTTTAGGATAAATTACGGCCACCCCTTGAGGTAATGTTAAATTATGAAAACCCCTCTCATGTCTGGGTAATTACAACCACCCCTTCAACTATGAATATTTTTACATGTCCATTTTTGCGGTGTCAAATGCAACAAAATTTTCTAGATTTTGTGGAATGTTCTCTAGTTTGTACTCGTTTTGTGCAAAAAGAAAGTTTAAGATACACCACAATCTCATAATTACAAACGAAGAGACACATTTTTTTTATTGTGTTGTTTTAAAATGTTGAACTGAAATGGGGTAGATCAGGTACAAACTCGAGAGTATTCAATATAGTCTAGAAGATTCCACTACATTTGACACCATAAGGGTAGACGTATGAGAAGATTTATAGTTGAGAGAGTGGTTGTAATTATCCAAATATGATGAAATTTTTCGTAATTTAATCTTACCCAGGGGATGTCCGTAATTTATCCAAAAGTTTAAATGCACATTACTTATATAAATGTTCTACTATTTGTTATTTGCGTGAGAGTAAAAAAAGAATATTTACACGAACATCATCAAAGATCCATGTCACAATTAATATGAGGTTATTGTATTTACTATCTCTATGAAAATCGCAATTGCGCATCTTCCCCCATCATAAAAAAATTAGTAAAAATCCCCCTCGTATTTATGTTTAGACAGTATACTTGAGCCATATTAATTTTCTCCATTGATCGGTTGTAAAAGGGCCGAAATACCCTAGGGGATTTCTGCGAAAAAACTAGGGGACCAAATTGAAGTCTTGAAAAACTTAATCAAATAAGTCAGGGGATTGAATTGTAATTTTCCAAAAAAAAAAACATAATATTTTGTAAATATTATGTATTTCATTCTTTAAAAAGAAACTTATTTAAAAAAAAAAAAAAAAAAAAAAAAAAAAAAAAAAAAAAAAGCTGCTAAGGCAATTCTGTCATTCCAGGCAACAAAAATGAAGAAAATCGCAAAACCTGCGGGAGTGTTTGCTAATTTACTTATAACCAAGGTTGTAAAAAGCGGTAATCGGGTCCGAGTCGGTCAGGCACCGATTCATGATTAATCGGTGCGGCGGTGATTAATCGGTAATAAATCGGAAATAAATCGATTTTTAAAATTTAATATAATATATCTCTAAATATTATTTATAAATACTCGAAACATATATAAAAAGATATTTAAACATAGTTATATTTCCATCATGTATATATTTTTAATAACATAATAAAAGTTTAATAATTATAAGATCATAATACATAAATATCCTTATAAAATATAAATAAAAAAACATTTTTTTTTGAATTTACATTTATTCTTGAACATTTCTGGCATACATCATTAGTTCTTTAACAATAACAATTAACATAAACAAAATAAGGCATAAACTCATATTTTCTTTTATTAAAGTCTCAACTTTTATTTTGAATTATAAAAAAAAAAAAAAAAAAAACGATTTTTTACCGATTTTTGCCACCGAGTTTGACCCGCCTTAAAGGTTTGACCGCCTCGGACCGCCTCAGACCGCCTAAAACCGCCTCAGAGGTCAAAAACCAATTTTTCAAACATTTACACTAAAATCATAAAGGTTTTGGACCACCTCCGCCTCGGAGACCGATTAATCGGCCGCCTCGGCCGATTTTTAGAACACTGCTTATAACAAGGTATAAAGCGCATGTGCAATTTTCACATAGATAGTAAATGTAAATACAATAAGCTCCAATTTAACACGTGTGAAATGTATGGGGTGAAAAAAGTAGGAGCAGCCGAGTAGGGCAGTAGCACATCGTTTTCAGTTTTCCCCCAAACCCAGTGCATGCATTTACTGACACTGGGCACACACGTAAACACACACCCACACATACGCACAAGTGTCTGTATTATTTATTATATATGTCTGCATAATACTATAGTATTTTAGTCCCTCAAAGTAGGCGCCACGTCACCCAGCTAGTTTAATCCAACCACCGGCCACCGGCTGCCGTCCCCCCCAACTGGCTTATCTGTTCATCACTGTGCTTCTCTCTCTCTCTCTCTCTCTCTCTCTCTTTCTCTCTCTTCTCTCTGTCCAGACAAAATTCAAACAAAAATTCCACTTGTATTGACTTACTAGAATTACAAATATTGGGGGGTCTTCTCTTCTTCAACCCATTTCCACTCTTTCTTCCCTTCCTCAAATTCTTTCTCTGATCAATTCTTATTTTATATTAATTAATAAAATGCCAGCTTGGTGGGGTAAGAAATCTGGGCGGAGCAAAGAGTCGGACAATTGTTCATCATCAGTGAAGCATGAAAAGAAGAGAGAGAAACTAATTGAGATTAAATCCAAGAGCTTTGACGAGGTTCTACAATCAAGAAATTCTCCCAGAAACAGCCGTGATTTTTCTCCATCCGGGTTTTCCGGGTTCGATTCTGCGTCCTCGTTCGATAGAGCCCACCCTTTGCCCAGGCCTTCGGATCCATCAAATGGATCCGGGTCGGGCTCCGTTTCCAGTGTCAGCTCTTCCGGGTCTTCCGATGATCATACCCATGCCCCAGTCGATCATACTGCTTCTAGGTTGGGTTTTTTTCCTTTTCTTTTTTTTGGCAATTAGGTTTTCTGATTTGAAAGATAATTTTATCTTAATTTGGGTTTATCTTAACTTGCTGTACTATTTATTATCTGGTTTTGATTTGATTTGATTTGATTTGATTACAGCAGAGCCTCGATAAATTTAATAACCTCGATAAATTTAATAGTTTCTCTCCGTTCTGATTCTGACTCGGTGCTCGGTGAAAACATGTGAAATTATTAACTCGATAATTAATAATTCGCTAAATTAATAGAATTTCCCTAGTCCCGACTCTATTAATTTATAGAGGTTTAATGTGTCCGTAATTACTAATTAGTTAGTTGATTTTGTCTCTTAAACTTGGTATAAACTAATATTTATGTAACAGATTAAGTCCGTCGCCACGAAGCCCTGTTCGAGGTTCGAGGTGTACAATACCAACTGCCACGTCACCTCTTCACGCACGGATTAATGGTGTTAATTTGGAATCTCCAGACGGCAAAACCGAGGGTCATAGACTGCCCCTTCCACCCGGTTCTCCGATTAGCCCTTCCACATTACCAACCCTAAGAAGCCCTGTAATAAACGAAGGCTCGGTTAGCAATTCTTCGAAATGGAGAAAAGGGAGGCTTCTTGGAAGAGGCACATTTGGTCAAGTTTACCTCGGTTTTAATAGGTAATATAATTCGGTGATTTATGGATACACATAATTCATAGTTGTTCTCCTTGTTTAAATGAATTATAACATATAGAGTTGTTCTTGTGAGTCCGCCTTTAGTTTTAATGTAATTGTTTCGGAAAGATGATCGTGAAGTAAAAGAACTTACATAAATATTTAAACACTTCCGTAAATCCATTTTAACAATTTGTGTAATAGAGATGGAGAATGTAACATCTAATCATAAATTGTTAGTGCGTAAGCTAATCTTTCTCGAGGTCACCCTGTTTCAATTCATGTTAGTTTAATTTCTTGCTTGTGTTATTCCGTACCGTTACTATTTGTATAATTTGGTGAATTTGCTATAAATAGTACTTGAAATTTCTGTTTTGGCATCCCATTGTCTATATATATGGCAAATTACGAAAACCCCCTCCTGTTTGGGTAATTACAGCCACCCACCTCCTTTTAATTATTTTTACATAAAAATTATGTAATTCGATTTATATATATAATCTCGTTTAATTTGTTAATGGCAGTGAGAACGGGCAAATGTGTGCAATTAAAGAAGTTAAAGTTGTTACAGATGATCAATCATCGAAAGAATGTTTAAAGCAACTCAACCAGGTATTTCCCAATACAATATTGCCTACTCAAGATGAATATTCATTTTTATTATTTTTTTTAATTATTAGTTTAATGTATTACGAAGATTTTAATGGGGTGGTGCTATTTATCTTTGGTGACATTTTTAATTATTTTATCAGGAGATATCCTTGCTAAGCCAGCTTTCACATGCGAATATCGTCCAATACTATGGAAGTGACCTGGTATACTAGTCAATTAATTACAATTTAATATTATAGACATTTCTTTCTTAAACATTTCTATCGGATTTCTTTGTAAATACGATTTGTCTTTTTTGCAGAGCGAAGAAAGGCTATCGGTTTTTTTGGAGTATGTTTCCGGAGGTTCCATTAATAAATTACTGCAAGAATATGGGGCCTTTACGGAACCTGTTATACAGAATTACACTCGTCAGATTCTACACGGTCTTGCTTACTTGCACGGACGCAATACAGTGCATAGGTACCTCTCGTCTTTTTTCTTGATTATTTATACATTTATATTCGTGTGTTGTAAGATTGCATTTTAGAATTTTTTTTAATTATTAATTAATATATGTATTTTTTTTAAATTATGTTCTGTGTAGAGATATCAAAGGAGCAAACATTTTAGTAGATCCGAATGGTGAAGTAAAACTTGCTGATTTCGGCATGGCGAAACATGTACGTATTATTATCTTACGCACCAAATTAAATTCAATTTGTTAATACTCAATCATGATAAGAAAGAGAAAAAAAAAATTGATGTTTGCAACAAACCGAAAATTAAATTACTGACCGTTTTCGATGTTTTTTTTTTATACAGATAGCATCGTGTTCTTCAATGCTGTCCTTCAAAGGAAGCCCGTACTGGATGGCACCTGAGGTCTCAATTTCTTTCTACATTAACTGATACGATATATTATTTAATATATCGTTTAATTATTAGTTTAGTTAATAGTTTATTATTAATTAATTAGATTAGTATATTTATAATAAATATTACCGTGAGTTAGTAGTGGTTAGGATATTATTAAGTATTTTATTAGTTAGGTCATTACCTTTCCTAGTTAGATTAGGATTCTAGGGTTTTATTCTCTTTAAATAGTCGTCTTGTGCTAGGGTTTTAGAAGGAAGAGAAATAATAAAGAAGAGTTTTCTTACGTTCAGTAAAGAAATCTTATGATACACAAGAGATCGTATCAATTGGTATCAGAGCGAAGTTGCGATTAACACCAACGCTTCGTTAGCAAGGCAGAGATTATATCAAAGCTAAGCTGGAGCAAAGTTGAGATCACATCAAAACTTTGTGAAAATCATGATGTCAGAAACAAGACGGTTGGAGCGATTGGAAAAATCCGTAGAGAAATTACGGTTTGATTTTCAGAAATTGCTCGAACAAAGTCAAGGACGACGTCAACACCAACACAAAAGCCGAAGGGACCGCCGCCCATCACCACCACTGCCACCGCCACCACCGCCGCCGCCGTTGTCGAGCCTATCGCCGGAGGGAGAGGAAGAGGACGATGATGAATTTTTCGAAGAACCACAATTTTTTGTGAGTTCACCGAAAGATGAATTATCGGATTCACTTGAGGTAATTTGGGATGAAGACGAGGAATTAACAAAGGAGGAGAACGAAGAGCTACGATGGATATTGGGAGATTTCCATGATGTTCAAAGGAAAGAAGACGAAGGACTATTGACGATTTTGAAGGAGATTAAGAAATCTAACAATGCTATTGAGACGATTGATGTATCACTAAAAGTGCCAAATATCTCCTTGATGACGTTTAATGAATTGTTTGACCATAACAAACAATATGTTAAAAAGTCAACGATTGTGGAGACATGTGATGAAGTAGATGATCAATTGCTTGAGATTCCTGTTCTCAGCATCCTACATGGGAACAAATCATTTTTGAAGAAATTTGATGGCATCAAGCATCGATGGAAACGCAAAAGAGAGGACCAAATTGACTCGAACCTTGAGGACAAGGTTCATTTCAAGAGGGGTGGTTTGATACGATATATTATTTAATATATCGTTTAATTATTAGTTTAGTTAATAGTTTATTATTAATTAATTAGATTAGTATATTTATAATAAATATTACCGTGAGTTAGTAGTGGTTAGGATATTATTAAGTATTTTATTAGTTAGGTCATTACCTTTCCTAGTTAGATTAGGATTCTAGGGTTTTATTCTCTTTAAATAGTCGTCTTGTGCTAGGGTTTTAGAAGGAAGAGAAATAATAAAGAAGAGTTTTCTTACGTTCAGTAAAGAAATCTTATGATACACAAGAGATCGTATCATTAACATATGGGGTTTATTGCATTAAACACCCTCGTGTTTACTCTAATTATTAAAAACTCCTCGCTTTATTAATATTACCAAACACCTCCCTATTATTCATTTTTTTTTTGACAAACTACCCCATAAAACTTCGTATTTAGGGACTTCTTCGACTGTACACCCGGTGATAAACACCAGGTGGGTCAGGTGGGTCTTCTGTTGCCACGTGAATATTTTTTGTATTTTATATAATATTCCCCCACTTGGGTTAACATGTAGGGGTTTTAGAAAAATACAAAAAATGACACGTGGCAGCAGAAGACCCACCCGGTGTTTATCACCTGGTGTATGGTCGAAGGAGCTGTATTTAGGGGCGTGTTTCCTAATATTAATAACACGGGGAGTTTTTTTAGCAATTCGAAATAATACAAGGTTACTTAATGCAATAAACTCTTTGACATATCTTTCCCGATAATTACATTGTATCCTATTTTTCCCCTAGGTTGTAATGAATACAAATGGATACAGCCTTCCTGTGGATATATGGAGCTTGGGTTGCACAGTTCTTGAAATGGCAACGTCTAAACCGCCTTGGAGCCAATACGAAGGGGTAATTTAGACCTTTCAATACATTTAATTGATGTCAATTTTTTGGTTGATCCTCAGCATTGAAGCGAAGCTGTAATATTAAAATATATTTTTTTCTTTTTTTTTTAATTGAGTAGGTTGCTGCGATTTTTAAAATTGGGAATAGTAGAGATGCTCCGGAGATTCCGGATCACTTATCTGCCGATGCAAAAAGTTTTATAAGGCTATGTTTGCAGAGGGAACCGTCGGCACGGCCCACCGCATCCCAACTACTCGGGCACCCTTTCGTTAGAAATCAAACGACACCACGAACAACCAATGTCAATATTACAAGAGAAGCATTTCCCCGTGCCTTTGATGGAAATCGCACTTCGGTATTTTCTTTTTCTTTATATTTAATCGAATCCTTAATCCTATGCATCTTAGTCTTAACTGATATGTTTCATTACACACAGACGGCTTTGGAGATGCACTCGAGCAGTAGAACAAACAACACCCCTTCCGACAGAGATGATGCTGCAAGATTAATATTACCAATTAGGACCCTAATTAGCCGCAGGTACATACCACCGCCTTTCAAATACTATTCATGCATCAGCTTAAGCACAGGGAGGATTTAATTACTAACACTTTTGCTTCTTAATTATTTACAGGGATAACACAAGGGCAATAACGTCATTGCCTGTATCGCCCTCCTCGAGCCCGCTACGACAGGATAGATACAAGAGCTTTTTCCTTTCTCCACCAAACCCGAATTCATATAGTACTTGTAATAATAAATATACCGATCTCTCGATATCTCCACTAATAAAGCCCCACTTAAGAAACCCTACAAGAACCATGCTATAGACCCTTCCAAATTTGTTTTGAAAGTTTTGAAGTTTGAACCCCTTGCGAGTACGATTTAACCGCAGTTGAACAAACTAGAGTTGATTGCTTCCTCGAAGTACGAAGATCTGAGGGTCGTCGCATTGGCTGGACGGTAAGTATTACGGTGAAACAGAATATTGTTACGTCCGGTGGATATATAGTTTTATCGTGTATAATGTGCATGTAAATAGACCAGAGGTGTTGTGTGGGATATATTATAGATGGGAATGATTACCATTAGTTGCAAGCCTTCTCTTTTGGAATGATTTGCTGATTTAGAACATGGTGAATCCCCATGCAATTTGATAATCCATCACATATATTATATATATGCTATCTTTATAATATTAAATAGAGTGAAAACCGATATTTCCGACAATTTTGACTGGAATATTACAACAAGAGATTTGCCCTCTACGTGTCACTGTCATTGTCCTCCTGGCCGGTAACGACATGTTCGGTCCGGTCCTGGGAAACGAAAAGCTCGACTGGCTGGGTGATTGGATCGGGTTAATCTCCCAACTCCCTTTGCCTGCTCGATCACCACACTACTCTCATCGTCACCGACTGGGACTCTATCACCGGCGAAATGCCGTCGGACGTAGGGAAGCATGAAATGCTGAACCGGGCAATACTGAGGGGAAACAAACTCATTGATTCGATACCTAGTTCGATCGGCACGTTTTCCATGATGGCTGGTTTGTATCTGTCAGCGACCGGATAACCGGTTCAATTCCAGAACAAATCGGATCGATGACGGTTTTATCAGCCCTAAATTTCTACAATAATTTAGTTTCCGGCGAGATACCAGCTAGTTGTTCGGCAACAAGGGTTTGAGTCACCCGAATTTGAGCTGGAATTTTTTGGAAGGCCGGAAACTGCCAGATAGTTTCAGCCCGGAAAATTATTTAATAGTGTTGGATTTATTATATAAGTATAACATATCGTTTAGTATAATGGGGCCATGGATTTTAGCAACAATGGTTTTGACGATTAAGGACTCATTTGGCTAAGTTAATTTTAAGCAAGTGATAACCGATTACGTCTGATAAGTTGTTTTATGAGCTGATAAATTGTTACGTCTTATTTTTATATTTAATTTTTAAAGTGTTACGGCAATTAACTATTTTCTTTTTTTAATTAAGTAAGCTAATTATGGGTTTGTTTGCTATTACCAAAAAAAAAAAACACTACCAAACATTCTATTCGCATACCAATAAGGTAACGATTTAAGGTTCAAATCACTCATCTCCTACTTTCCCATGTAAATGACTTGAATTTACTCAAAAAAAATTGTATTCGCATCGCAAAAATAGACAGTGAAAGTACATGGCATTTATAATTGGAAAAACTTTACATTGAATTAAAAAAGGTCATTCAAATTGTAGATTATAACGCGTGGACAAGGACGCACATATAGTAAAATATCAACTGAAGCAAATCATTACAATGAAACCAATTCAATACTCGAATAACTATACTATGCACATATAATTAAAAAAAAAAAAAAAAAAAAAATCAACTCAAACAAATCATTAATATACTGAAATCAATCTAACAACAATATCTCGAAAATATGTTACGATGCATATAGTTTGATATGGTCGTCCTGCTCAAAGTAAGGCATGTCACTACGATTCAAATGCACCCACGCCTCCAATCCACCATTCTCTTTGCTATCCATAAGTACAATTATGTTCGGTCGAGAAAACGCCCCGATTCCCGCCCCCACAGGCTTCCCCCATCCAAAATCCGCTTCGTAAAATCCAAACTTGCTCCAATCGCTAAAAGCAAAAACATTCACCTCTCCCCCCATCGATTTTCCCCTCACATTCACCAAAGGCTCCATAATTATACTTTTCACATCCCGACCCGTTGGAGAAAATATTTCAGCACAATCAGCGATGGTTTTTTCGAGGCCATAGCCTAGTATATCGACCAATTCTTGAATATTATTATTCCCAACAACGTTGTTTGGTATCATGCACCGTGTGGACGACAATATCAGCCAATTCCGACAGGAATGCTTCGGCAGAGGCGGAATTGTTCTCCCGCGCATGTTGACCGCCTGAGCGATGAGGCAAGCTCTCGATTTCCCGTTGTGCTTCGCCCGATCCACTCCGATCATGGCCTCCGCTATGACTGCGGACACCACCCGCACTCTCGAGTTTTCTGGCAACCTCAATTTCGATCTCAGGCTCGTTATAGCCTCCTTGTGAAACGAAAACCTCTTGACGACAATGTTGGGATCCCAACACGTTTTTATAGAATCGCCACGACTAATGTAGCTGCCCGGAAAAAACTCGGGCGGTGTGTCGAAACTCGGTCGGATTTTGATGCTCCCCACCATCCCTGGATTTTTGTTGGCGTTCGACCAAACGGCGATGAAAGTCCCGACGGAAGACGCGTCGAAAATTCTGTGAGAAACGCTGACGCTGACAACAAGCCCGCCGCACTTGAACCTTGTGATCCGAATCGAGAGGAGTGGGTCGGTGGGAGATTCGTCCACTTGGTGAAATTTAGGTGGGAGAAAATAATCGTTTAGCAACTTCACGTCCCTTTCGGATGCTAGAATGACATCACTTAGCGTCACATCGTCAACAACTTGTGCTTCCACAAATTCGGCGCCCGAATCATCGCAGTCGACCGAGCGATCCTTCTTGATGTATCTTCCCGCGAGTGGGTAGAATTGGGGTAGAATCTTGGATAGTGATTCTTGAAAATGGGTTGTTGTTTGTTTTGGATTGTTTGGTGATAATGGGTTGTCGTATAGAAGAATAACTCCAACATTCATTGGAGGGTTAAGATAATCTATGAAAGATATCTTGTGATTTCTAAGGCTTTGAGGAGTTGGGGTGCATGGTTTTACCAACTTCGTGCTAACTATAATCACTTTCATGTTTAAAATTATATAATGTATGGATGAAAGAAAATGGAAATCTTGGTTGATTGTTCCAACTTTGTTGGGGGCGTCTCTTTTATAATGAGAGAGTTGGGGGGTAAAATGGAAAGAAACAATATAATGGCATTTGTAGACTTTTTTTGGTAGGTGTAATTATGATGTGACATGAAACTTGTACAATTGCAAATTGCAATTTATATATATTTTGATTGTGACGCAATTTGACTTGCATAAAAGTCGGAGAACAAGAGTTCGAATATATCTTATTTCGTTTTTCAACTTTCTTTTATTTATTTTTTAATCAAAGAGTATGCAGTCAAATATGTACAAACTCGGCCTAAATTCCATTGGCAAGGAGACTCGAATTTGGTTCAATTGACATAAAGTGACTTGCTTCACCCACTCGGCCATCTATTGCATAACTTTGTTTTTCATCTTAGTTTGAATCAATCTATGTTCCTTTGAAAAGTATTACAACCAAAATTTTATAATTGCAATATTTTAATTTGATAGTGATTTACATAAATTTCGCAAAAATTTAGAAAACGAAATGTATACATGTTTTGGATATATTTCCAATTCAACTTTAATTAATCGCTAAAATCGAAGTTGGTAAGAAAAGGATATATATTATATTATATACCCAAAATACTTGACTGTCAATTGATGAGAAAATATAATATTAGTTGTGATAACTTAATATTGACTGAAACCAAATATTAATATTTGCAATCCAGAAAAAGTTGATAAACCCAGTGGGAACGAAACTAAGACATTTTTGGATCGATTCTACATGCAATTTGAAGCCGGAATTCAACATAAAAATATTTACGGAATATTAAAATAAGCTGAGTACACATCCGCGCTTTGAGTCTTTGACTTTGCGTGGCAACAACTCTTGTATGTTATTAGTTTAGTCAATTTATTTAATTATTAATTAAGTAGTATGATTATTTACATAGAAGCAGTTGGAGTCATCGTACCGTAGTAAGGATACACATTTTTCACTTTTGGTTCTTAATTTTTTTAATAGCTAAGTACGAATTTTAGTTATGTTAAAGAAGAGACAATTAGAGGTTTGGTCCCTATATTATACACGTTTTTCGATTTTGGTCCTTCAAAATTTTCAATAAATATAATATCCCTATTAAAAAATTAAGAACCAAAAGTGAAAAATGTGTATAACATAGGGACCAAAACTGTAATTATCCCTATTAAAAAATTAAGAACATAACTTTTCTTACTTCTTGCGCAAGTAAAATTAGATGATACCTTGAAAGCATATCAATCAATATCTACGCGGGGTTATGATCGTATCAATTTTATGTTTTAGTTAAATAACGATATATGAAAGATAACGGTTAAAGAGATTTGGAAAAATCCGTGCAAGAGACACGAATTTGTTAGTCCAATAATTGCTTGAACGAGAGCGACACCATCATATATAGAAGCTAAAGGGACTGCCGCACCCAGCGCCACCATCGTTATTGTGCCTATGGTCGGAGGGAGGAGAAAGACGACTAGTGCCTTAGTTATGTCAGATAAAAGTCAAGATTTCGTGACTTCTCGGCAAGTGCAGTTCATGATGCAAACCTACATAATTTTAGTTTTCTTTCTTTAGTTTGTACACAATCACCATCAACATATATGTATAGATGTGTGTAAAATATATGTATACGGATTTATATACATGTATGGTAGGATATAATCCGGTGACTCCCTCTCTTGCGTAGGTCCGTTTATTTGATGTTTCATTTGAATAACTTCAATCAATACAATTTTTATTTAAACACATTCCTAATTTTAAAAGGGGAAATTTGCTAGACACCCCTTATTTTGAACTTATATAGATAGATATCCTAGTTGTTAGATGAATATAGGCATAAGTTCTTTGACTCAGATAAATAATATAAATAAAATAAAATAATTAGTGTATAGACATAATCACCCTCAATTAATAAGAAAACAAATCTCATATATCTTCTCTCTCCAATCTCACGTTTCTCTCACCCTATATTTAATCTCTCATCTCTTTCTCTCCTTTGTATATCACGCCTTTCTCCCTCTCTCGAGCTTCTCTATTTTTTTTTTCTTTTTCTTTACTTTTTTGATAAAGAAATATTATAGAGAAGGAAAAAAAATAGGAATTCTTTAGATTATGAGATGATTTCTTGGTGAAATAATTAAAGAGGACAACAAAAATTCAGAAATCCAAAATCATAGCCAAAATTCACATTGTGTCTCCCGTATGTAAAACCTTCCCATCATTTTTGTTGTTAGCAATTTTCGTTTGCAGGTTGATTTAACTTCGTTTGTTGTTTGAAAAATTGCATTTGATGTTGAGATTCGATTCCTCTAGTTTACAATTTGCAAAGTATGTCTTAAGTTACATTTTACAAACATTTTGTTACATGTTTTTGTTG